GTTATTTAAATTAGTTATCTAAAGGTAAATTATTCAGAAACAATAATAAATGTACTTACCATCAATAGAATTTATTATTAAAATTTTCTCAAACGCATCGGTGCTTATAATATAATAATGTGTTATAGGTACTCGTATATGTACCATGCTTTGTTATGTGAACATGGCGAACGGCTACTGCTGTCATCATAAACGGCCAATGATCGACGTCAGAAAACGTTGGCCAATAGCAGAATTCTCTTTTGTTCACATGACTTAGAATTTCTACAATATTATAGAATATTTTTGAAGAAGGGATGTAAAGTATTACTATTTTTTGTAGAGAAAATTACTATTTTTTGTAGAGATAATTATTAATATTTGTACAAATTTCTACAGAAGTTAGTAGTAGTAATTACGATAATTGTAATAAATTTATACTTCTACAAACAATAGTAAAATATACTAAACATTGTGGACTTCTTTCCTATTGTTGTAGCATTTTATTCGACAATTCAATTGCTACAATAATAAATAGTTTTTAACTATAAATTGTAGTAAAATTTTCTACAAATTGTTAAGTATTTTTCTACAAGTCTACTACTACAACATTGTAGTAAAATTTTCTAGTCACATTTTTTTCCGTGTAAGTACTTCTTTTAACTATGTATAGAAGTCATTAAAATAAACATTTTCAAAAAATATCAAAAATAAGAAAAAATCACAGGTGTTTAGGCCTGGTGATCTCGGTGGCAACAGTAACGCTGCAGAATTAAAAATCCAAATCTGTCCCTGTCATTTGTCAGGAAGTACAGGAATATTTAGATATTACTTTCCCCAATAGGTGTATCGAATTTAATTTTGCGTGTTTTCTAAAGTTATTTCAATATGTTGTTTATTTTACTTACTTTTATTCGTTATAACCTGCAACTGTGACACTCTTAGATAAAAGTCAAATCAAAACAGATCATGCAAAAACGTAATTGGTATGGTTTGGTTCAAAGGATATTCTTCGATTTGAAAGTGTTCACATCTAAGTATTGTATAGCTGAGGTTCCGAGGCCACTTTGGTAGCAAGGCCATCGAGTTCTCATGTTCTCATTCATCATCATCGAGTTCTTCGGTTAATAGACGTTGAAGAAGCCTATTGAAACAAGACAATGAAGAATATGAGCTGAAGAAAAGACTAAAAATCAGGGAGGACGTTGTAGAAGCTTCTGAAGATTCGAAGATGAAGAAGAGTAGAAGAAGAAGTGACGTAGCACCAGAAGAGACGAAGACTAGTCCGATAACTACAGCAATGCGCAGAGACGTTAAAGAAGTCTCTGGAAAATCGAAAATAAAGAGCCGAAGAAGTGACGCTATCAATGATGAGGGACGCACAGCAGTAGTAGCATTGCCAAAAAGGCATTAATGCATATCTCTGCTATTATTGGTTCAATTTATACATTCAACTTCAACTGTCATTTAACAAGATTGAAGTCAATTATTGAAACTAGAACCACAAGAAATATATATATATATATATATATATATATATATATATAAAATTCAAACTAATTTATTGGGGGCAGCAGCAATATATAATAAAGAAAACTCTTTAAAGATGATCCAAGCTTTCGGAAATTTTAATAACTTATTTCCATCTTCAGGGAATCTACAAAAGGTGTGGTGTGTCTTCATAGGAACATAATATTATTAAGAGAGTGAGTTACTTACATCTTTGTGAGGATGAATTATTAATGATGTTAAATGTTATGATTTTGATGCACATATAGAATATATATATTTAATTAATAGAGGAGAATCGCCTAATATTGAATACTTTTTTTTAACTCAAAAAAACATCCCTACATTTGCGCTAGTTTAATAGCATAACATAGCATAACTGTATATTATCAGTTAAGATGGTTGGCAAAAGAATAAAAAAATTATTTAAGGAAGTAATTAAATATTTTTGAAAAAGTGCTGATTTTGTCAATTTAGAAAATAGTAGCCTAATATTGGATAGGGTATTCAATATTAGGAAACCACTTTTTTATTCAAAAACTATTGATAATTTCAAAATTTTATAGAGGAAAATACAAAACCAATAAAAAATTCCACTTTACAGCTTAAAAAGGGCAAATCATCCATCCATACAAAAGTCACGGATGTATTTTTTTTTGCCTTCAGCATCAGCACATGCTTCATGGAACCATCTGTAAACAAGCAGAAGGGACAATCCACATCTTCTTCTGGATCCATATCAACTTCCAAATCCGCATTTAAGGTGTAACGCAGCTACTGGTTAATAGATAAAGCAAATTTACACTTTCATTTTTAAAATAAATAGGTATTCAATATTAGGCAGTACCCTAATATTAGGCGCTTTCCTCTAGTGTTAACGAAATATTGGTCACACCATAGATATAACTCAAATGATACCCCGTATGGTGTCACTTCTCATACTAAAGGTTTATACCTAAATAATCCGATACATGCGTTGTAATCTGGTAACTTAAAGTCGTTCTATATTTTTACGAGTAGTTGGTCACTTATCCTTAATTAACATAGGTACACATTATTTATGTTTATGTAGTTATTCAAAAGTATTGAAATAAATATTGTATTATATATTTTTACTCTTTTATTAATAATAGAGAAAGCGAAAACAACAACTAGCTAATAAAATTGAAATTTATAACTTGTATGGTTACCTACTAATAGAATAGAACTTTTTCGCAGTGTACCGTTAATTTCAATTATTTCTTTACACGATACGATAAGAATAGTTACGCATTACGTTTGTTTTACGGTAGGTGCTCCAAGAGTTTACTACTTAACTGTTTAGTTAGTCATAAAATAGTTGTTGAGGATTGAGGTTTTTGTGGAGACAAAATGTTAATAGATAATGCTTCTGTGTAACAAAAACGGTTTTGTTTTAAATCTTATTGCAAAACACGCTTCAATTAATCAGTTTTACAGAAAGTTTAATTTTTTCTCAGAACTAGGGTTATTTGATAATTAAAATCTTTCTTTTAAATCAAGTGAGAAAGTCGTGAGATTTCAGCTAAAAAAATATAATTTGTTTTAAAATTGAAGAATGTGTTTATTGATAATTTAAGGATAATCGAGATGTTCAACTAAGGTAAGATCAGCTAAAGTAATACTGGGTGTCCAAGAAGTATTGGAAAAATTGTTTAGATTCAAAATTTGTCGATTTATTAAAAATGTCATCATTTTTTGGATGAACTCATTTGCTAGTCGACTCCCTTGCTTCGTGTAATGAAGTGTAACCCTTTAACAACACTCGTTTATTCTGTTTAATGAAGGAAATCCGTTAAAAAAAGCCTTTTTTAATCATTGCTGATGGGAAACAAACAAGATTACCATTTTTTCATTCAATTTCGAAAAAAAAAAAATCGATAGCAAATTAAAAATATTTTCTTATGAATAAAGTTTAGGCCTAGTCTACCATTGGATATCGATAAAACTTCAAAACTTATTCTAACAACATAATAACTAGACTCATTTACTGTGAATAACCCTCCAAATTTTAACGAAATTCAAAAAGTGATTGTGATTTTAATAGCAAAAACCTTTTTCGAAGTTGACCCTTGTAAGCTTCTAAAAAAAAATGCTTCAATATTTCTAAGACTCTGCAGAGCTGGAAAGATGTAGAACAGACAATATAATTTTAATGCTAGTGTTAAATTCTCCTCTCACCTAACCAGTGATCAGATAATTTCTTTATACAGGCCCCCAAATCGAAGAGAATCACCCAAAGAAAAATGATACTCAATCTGACTCAAATACTTTTTTATTGCTATCAAAAAAAAATCACACTGACATCTGTTTTCAAACGTAACTAATAAAACTTTTAATTAAAACTAAATAAGTGAATAGTATACATTTTCTTCAGCTAGCGAAAACATAGTACATAGCTATTTAACTATTGAACAAGTTCAGCTGTCATGGAAAAAGTCGGAAATACAAATACACAAATATATACCACATAATTGCAAACATTATGGTTTGCTTATCGAAATAATGTAAAAAAAGAGGTTAGAAAACAAGTACCAGAGACAAGAAGACATAAGAAGAGATAGATAGGAAGACCGCGGAAAGAAAATGACAAGAAAAATAGATGGAATGAGTGAACGAATGATAGGAAATAAAAAAAAATAATAGTTGTGGATACAACATCCGAAGATGTAAGGTAACAGAAGATATAAGAAGAGAATGCACATCATGGATTAATAAATTAAACATAATAGGTAAACAGGCACGATTATATATGGATTAATTAATGCAGAACCAGATTGACCAAGAAATGAAGATGATATCAGAAACAAAAAAAATGTATACCTACAGTGGTAGACGATAGATGTACTTAGCTATAACAAGTACTACAATATTTATCTAGTATTACAACTTTAGAAGAATATGGAATGAGAGCAGAAAGGAACCTAAAAAAAGATGTAACACATGAGTAGAAGATACATTTTATATATAAACTGTATATTCATTTGCAACCCTACCTATTTATATTTTTTATACAGTGTTTACAGTTGTTATTAAACTTTCAATACCTTATTTTTATATGTACCTTAGGAAAAAATTATATTTTTTTTAACTTCAAAAGTACTTATTCCATTATTATATCTGTACTGATATGATCTCTTCAATCATTCTTCCAATCATAATCATTGATTAAACTGTACATTTAGATAGATTAGCCATAATCGGTGCATATTGCCTCTAACTCCAAAAGTAATATATTATTATTATTATTTCTGTGTTCACATGATTGATATACATTTAGATAAATTAGACATAATCGTTGTATATTCAATGTGTACCTGTTCCATTCAATTGGAAGCACTTGCTTCATCATAACCACCTTCGATACCGATGATTATCCGCCACGTGTATCCTAGTATATGTACTTATAACTTCCCTGCCGCCAGCATTTGTGTATAAGGTAAAAAATATATCAAAAGAGCAACATGTGTTTAACGCGTGGCCCTTTTTTGCAGGTGCTGTGGCATCTGGATATCTTCAGGAGGAGTTTCCGGGACCTTTCGGGGCACGCCTGCATGGCGGATTCTTGTATCTTCTGCGCTCTTAAGGTAAGTGTCATTAGGTTAATGTATTCATAGGGGAAATGGGCGCAATTCAAATTCGCAGCTTGATTTTCGGCCAGTTTTTTAATTACTCGAGTAGTATGACTAGATATGACTAGATATGACATCATTTCGTATATACAGAATAGAGTAAAATATACTCATATTAACCGTAGATATTGGACACTTGGGTATATTGTATCTAATTATCTAAGTACATATAGATTTCTCCGATATAGCATATATAATGATATAGAAATCATAATTAAAATGCAGGTCCGGCTTATAAAATTTGGGTTTTCTTTCCGCCTCAAAACAAAACAACGCCCTGTGTAACAAAGTTTTGAATATCTGATAAGCTATATTTAGAAGAAAAAATATTTTGATTTATGTGTCCAAATTTGGAAGTAATAATATTCGTTTTTCGTCTCTCCTGAAAAATTTATAATTTTGCATTTGTTTTACCGAAAATGCGATATATAATATGCAAGGATTTCATAGCATACCAATTTTAGGTATTGTTTTTACTACAAGAAAAATCATATAAGTAAGTACAGGTGAAGGCTCAACCCGTATCCCTCTGGAGTCACTTTTTGAAAATTTGAATCGATTTCTATTGAAAAAAATTTATTAAATATATTTAATTTTTATCTACAGGAGCATTTATTTTCTTCTTACAATAAAAATAATAAAAAAGAAACGTTAAAAGCTTTTTCTAGAGGGTAACGCAAACAAAATGTATATCCTTTTCTACTATTTACAAGTGATGAACAATAAGCAAGAGATTTAAATACAGTAATTTCGGTCAATTATTTTAAATTTATTTTATCATTTACTTATTAAAAAAATATAATACATCCGAAATTAAAAGGTATACAGTGAGATCTGAATTGTAAACTTTTATATTGTAGGGAGTTTTTTTAATGAATACTTCTTCGAGTTAAGAATAATGAATTCCAACCGGTTAACAACCCTTTATTCTGTTAAAGTAATGTATATTTTTCGAACTAAGTAAATCATTTTTCTTGCTTTGATCTGTCGCACTCTTACGCGTTGCAAAAGAAGATTTTCTAAAAAGTTTGCCAATGTCTATAGATGAGAAAAAAAAGAATGTGACACGAGATCAAGCTGATTGTTCATCGTGGCACAATGAAAGATGAAAACGAGTCACTGCTTTAAAATTTGGAGACATTTGTAAAAAAAAGAAACGTCTTTCTTAAAAAATCTCAAAATCTTTTATTTTTTGCTAAAGTCCACCCAATATGGCATGGGCAATATTTGATTATGTTGCTGCCAGTTCGGATGGAATTTAAAACAAAAGACAGTACTCTATGATAGAGTAAAAATGTCCATATGGAACTAGAGTGCTGTAAAAGAAGGAATATGCAGTAGATAAATAACTTTTTGGAAAAATAATGCCATTTAGGAGAACCACAGTTGGTATTTTTAAATTCAGGGCTAGCTATACATTACACAAATGGACTTTTTGCATTTTGTGCGTTTGGACTCCTCGAGGAATAAAAGTGGAGAAAATTTATCGTGTTTGCATTATAATTAAAAAAAAACTAATTATTTTTCGTACCTACAAATAATATCAATAAAAATTCTAAGGAATTTAAGAGAATCTGTTTAAAGTAGTTGCAATAATTTTCATAGATTATTTTGATGCGTAAATACAATAATTGATTCAAATATTTTTGTATGGTTAATTTTAAATTTATTATATTCCTCATATTTGTTGTAAAAATAGACAAAAACAAACGTGTTTTCTTCCTCAAAAAAAAAAAAAACTGACATTCAATTTGCTTCAATCTACTTTAATGAGAAAATAGTTATTTCATATATAAGCGCGTGAAATAATATTTTTTGGCAGTAGCTGTATTTTAAAATATAACCTACGCGCAGAAAATGTTTTCGCATGTGTCATATACAAAATTTTATCTACCACTTTCTCTTTAAAATTTGTACGCTAATTTAAAACAAATTAATATCGTTCAAATACAACAAATAGCTTAAAAAAGGAGTAAAATGAAAACCCCATTTAAAGAATATTGGTTTTGTCACTATTTAAAATTGTATATAAAGCTTACTTTTTACGTAAGAACGTAAGTACTAGATAAACTATAAAAGGCTAATTTTTAAGAACAAAAAGTAATTTTAAATCTTAAATTCGGTTAGCTATAAGTTTATTAACAATAAGGACCATCTCAAATAATAAGGTAATAACTATTTCAAATAAACAAAATTAATAACCCCTAAGAAGCTCTTCAAAAATCGATTTAGATACATACTAAATGTATAGGTATCATTTATATAAATGAGAATAAAAATAACTTTCCTTTGATATTCAAAGTATCGGTTAGATTAAAGGTAACCACATTCATGATTGAAATATCTACCTATATCGTTATAGTGGTTTATTCTAAACACATAATTTTATGCTCTGGTAATCAAAAATAAAAATTCCTAAACAACCGTGGATGTTTCACGTTTTGAATTCAAACGTAAATCAATAATAATTAAATACTTAAAATAACATGATTTCCCCCATTTGCTATTAAAAAAAAGCTTTAAAGTGGCATGTGTTTTTATAGCATAGTAACTTGATATTTTAATACGTCGAGATGCAGATGGCTTTATGGCAGCTTGATGTCATTGTGGCGTTTTTAGATCACTCAACACCGACAAACACTTCACGCAAAACTTAAACGAGGTTTTTATCTACAGAAATATGGCCTAAATAAATTATATCTAATGGAAATGACAAAAAAGTATCTTATTTTATGCTTACAAATTATGACGGCCTTTATAGATTTTATTAAAATGAATTATTAGATTTAATTTGATAAAGTAAAAACATTCTTTTTGAATAAGAAAAGGCCAAGATCGAAAAATGACTAGATAGCATATTAGAAAAACCTAACAATAAATCATTGTGAATTGTTTGAAACGAATTTCAGTTGCAGTTTTTCTCTATTTTTTTTTTTTACAAAAACTACAGAATTAGTAAATATGTAATTTCGGTCTACTTAACGGATATAATTTTACATTTTACACTTATCTTAAGGACAGCAATTTGTACAAATTGATCAAGAGTTGATCGAAATTCAGAATATAGTAGTTAATGTTCCCCAAGTAATACCTGTTCTTGGTCCAATGTTATTTATTTTATAAAAACGTTTATAAATCGGCTTATGCTGATGACACCTGTTTAATTCTAAACTCAATAAACTGGACTATTTAGAAAAATAATATTACAAAAAATAAACGCTGTGTGCCCTATATGAAACTAAATCTGTTAGTGGTCTTCCTAACAAAATTATTCTAAGAACTCAATGGTTCGGTGGTGACTGGCACTATATCTGGGATTTGCATATTTGGCAGACCACCCTGTGATTTATTTAACACGGTTTTTTCTTCTGTGCCAACTCATAGAATAAAGTCAATCTTCAAGGAAGCTTTAAAAATTATTTTATATAATGAGTCTTACCCTAATAAAGTCAATTTACCAAACACATGACTCTTATAAATGAAAATAACAATAATTGAAATTGGTTATCACTTTGAATAAGATAATCATATTGACAAATTAATAGAAAAATTAAGATCAATTATTATTTACCTTTACAATTACCTTTAGAATTACTAGGACATAACTAGGACATACCTTTAAACATAAATTTTCTATACACATTTTTTTATATACTCGTATTCATTGCCAACAAAAATACTAAAAAATTTAAATTTTACATTTTCTCAAATTTTTCCATTACGCGGTCCATTTTAGAGAAATTCGAATTTTGCACTTATTGTCAAATGTCTCGAATACGGACCATTTTAAGGAAATCATGTAAAGAGAATGACGTCACAAGCAGTTTTTATATGACGGACTTTCTCCTCCAAGCGTAAAAAACATATATTAAAGTATAAAAAGAACCCCCTATGAAGTACCCCCCAGATGATCCGATTATGCTCAAAATCTAATCAATTCATTAGGGGATTGATCAAAGCATAAGTTTAAAACTTTGGTTTTCTCTTTATCTCTTTTTGAAATATTGTTGATACAGACACATATACAGACATCATCATAAAAATAGTAAAAACGGATTCAGGGGACCCCAAGCAATTAATTTTTTTATGATATTAGAGAATGAAGCAGACCTCAAATTAAATTATCATAATTTAGGTAGGTTTACAATGATTTAAAAATTGTTTAAAATATAAGACAGTAAGCTAACGAATAGTGATGATAGAACTGGAATGTTTTATACAGAATGTTTTAAAACGTGTCTTAAATATGGTTAATTTTAAGTTCAAGTTACTATTTTTTTTAAATTTAACACCCTGTATATTATTTTAGAATAACATTTCTTATAAATTTACCTATCAAACGATACCAACATGTTAGCCAATAACACATATATGATGTCCCATCAGTGCGTAATTGATCGATAGCTGTTTCATCATTGGAAATTGGAAATACGTAAAAAAAATTAATATAAAAGTTATATGACCATAATTAATAATTATTGTTAAAAATACAGGGTGATCCAAACCTATACATTTTTAAAGCAAAACACACTGCAGGTAGTTATACATATTTGATTGTTTTCTCATCGTCAAACAATTTTAATAGACCATTCATTTGGTATGATGTATATAGGTTGTGTCAAAATACGAGGTTAAAATTTTTTCAATTTTTTAAATAAAATACCCTGTATGTTATATTACCAATTAATTAATACAAAAAATTGAGAAAATCGTAATCTCGCGTTTTGATACGCGCTATATACAACATAGCAAATTAATAAAGTCAATTAAAATTGTTTAACGATGTGAAAACAATCAAATATGTATAACTACCTGCATGGTGTTTTACTTTAAAAAAGTATAGCTTTGGATCACCCTGTATATTTAAGAATAAATATTAGATATAGTCATACAACTTTTATTTTAAAAATTTCTTCGTATTTTCAATAATAAAACAGCTCTCGATTAATTACGAA